AGAAGACATCTCAGTCACTCTGTCTGAGCTGGACAAGGTTGCCTTTTACTTCAAGGAGCTGGACGAAAGCCTAGTAGCAAGTGAGCTTTTTTCAGCTTTTTTTCAGTGGACATGAACTCTCCCCTCTTGTTGTATTGCTGGTTAGTTTACGCCGTGAGGTTAAATCCTTCTGAAATGCACAATCCTGAAAGGAGCTGAGCATCTCCTGTGTCATGCTGAGTTCCCTTAGCTTCCATGGCATGTAATTGGAGTGAAAGTCACTCAGCACCTTGCCCGAGGGTACCTTGCACAATTGGGTCCTAAAATGGTAACTCACATCAGCTCTGGCTGTTCTCTGGACCAGGTAGGCAAGGCACATAGCCAGTAGGGATGTAAAAGGTTATCTGATTATCTGGCTAAACAATATAGCTGTAACCGTTTATCGGTTATCTTTTATTTGTCTGACCATCCATTTTTGAAATATCCAGACTCAAGCAACAGGTTCAAATCCTACCTGGATCTGCTTAGCCCCATATTTTTCTAAAATGGATACACTGAGCACTACATCACTTTCTGTAGATGGCAATTGGTTAGAGACTTTAAAAATGAGGGTGCCCACTGCATGTTAATAAAATCCATGGTAGTTCCCATGAAAATACAGAAGGTGATTTACCAAAGTGACCAAGAAACTTCTCTTTCCTTCCATTGTTGTGCTAGCTGGCTATCCTTCCTCACACCCCAGAGGTGGCTGCACTTTTTAGCTGCAGTGTGTGGAGCACCTTGGAATCTTACATGCTTCCAGGCACTATAAGAATGCAGGCTGGTATAATGCAGTCTGAAGTTTGGAATAATCAGTATTGGTATTTCTGTCAACTGTACTGGCTAAAGTTATGACCAGCCATAAGTCATTGCCGAGGACCTAGCCCCAGATCTGTTCATTGATTACTCAATAGTCAGGCTGGTAGCATAAGCCTAATTGCCAACATTCATTTGATGACGCCACTTGTAATATCTCTACAATTGGAAACCACTCGGCCCAGCCTGTGTTTCTTGCCAAGCATCTGGAGAGACGTGACAGCTGGAGTGAGCAGTTCCAGACAGATGTGTGTAAATCACCCGCCTTTTAGCAAAGGCCAGGGCAGACACCCCTGCCAAGTCCAAGCTTACATGACAGGACTCTATTATTTTTAACCATATTTGCTGCAGTAGTGCCAAGGGCAAGGCAAGAACAGGGCCCCGCTGGGTCAGGTGCTGTAGTAAACAGTCCCACTCTAAAGTGTTTAGAAATTTGATAGGAAAGAAAGACACACAGTGTGGGGGAAGAGATCTTGCGTACAAGCAAAACAATCTGTGTGGTGTTATCAGATATCATCTTAATTGATGGCATGTCTTGTAAACAACATGCTTCTTCTGAGCATATCATCTCTCAATACAGGACCTCCCTCACTTGCTACCACTTCTAACCTTTCAGAAACAAGATGTTATTCAATGGACTGATGTGCTTAGATGTTGCTAGTCTCTGCAGTCTCAGTAAAACACAAATGTCTTTACTGTTGCTTCCCCAGACACTCCAGTCTTCTACCAGATTGAAGGAAGTCGCCAGGCCTTGAAGATTATCTTTTACCTTGACAGCTACTACTTCTCCAAACTGCCATCTCGTTTTCAGAATGGGGGAAGCTTGAAGCTGCACACGGTGCTCTTTACAAAAGGTGCCCCCAAAATTCTTGACCAAGAAAAAGAAGTGATGTGAATAGAATTAGTTGCTAAACATTTTAAGGTTCATTGTGAAGGAATGGCCATAAAGTTGTGATTGAAAAAAAAGTGACAACTCCATAGGTAAAAATGGATCCCCTCCTTCCGAATGACAATCTACTATACTGGAATAGGGGATTAATATGCTGTAGATGGTTAGGATGAGATATTCATGGGGGTAAGATTATCCTTACAGATACCTGCTGTGAGGTTTCTTGCAACTTCCTATGAAGCATCTGATCACTGTCAGAGACAGGACATTGTACAAGACAGACTACAGGTCTGCTCCAGTCTGGAAATGTCCATATTCCCTAAGCTATAGAGCTTGTCTACACTAGATGGTAGATCGACGCTGCAGTGATCGATCCACTGGTGGTCGATTTATCACTTCTGCTTCACGCAATAAATCAAGCTCCACATGCTCTCCCGTTGACTCCGGTATCCACCAGGATGAGAAAAGTAGCCGGAGTCAATGGGAAAGTATATCTCCCACTGACCTTTCCATGTGGAAGACACCGTGGTAAGTAACCTTGACTTCAGCTATGCTATTTATGGGTAGGGCGGGAGTAGGTGTAGTGTAGACTAGGTCATAGACTGAGATAGGTAAAGGAGGCATTTTTTTCACGTGTGTATTCATAGAATCATCTGGGCTGAAAGTCGAGGGATATCTTGAGGATCAGCTAATCTGTTTTCATGCATTGTGGCATACAGCATAGGATACTTCCTTCAATGCAAGAGCAGTATGATCATATTCCAATGATCTTGTACCACAGTAGCCATTGGCCTTTGAGATGTCATAATGAAAACTGTGCTTCACAGAAGACATTTCCATAGAGGGAAATAAGATCATTCATCTTATTTTCTATAGGGTTGGTCATTTACACAATTTTGTCAATTACCTAGCAGGGGGATGAAAACAATCACATGATAAAATGATATACAGTAATATATTTATTAAAATCTTATCTCCTTCCAGCTCTTGAAAGCCTGGAGAGCCAGTCACAGCCAGGTGACTCATCTCTAGAAGAACTCCAGCAACAGATTAATGGAGCCTCACTTGAAAAAGTGCAGCAGTATTATCGCAAACTCAGGTAATGTGCCTTTTCTATTGTCCCGCAAGACAAAAGAAAATGGTGCTGTTTATGCAGGACCTTTCATAGACAGATTTTTCTGTCCTGGTGGTTTCATGTCTTATGCACAGTGATTCTTTGAAGAAGCATGTGATATGAAAAGAAAGACTCTAGGGACAATGATATTCCATTTAAGATTCACATGTTGTTTTTTTAATCAGGTGATTTTTTTTTTAAATCTCCAGTGTATTAGAAACCTTAAATAGTTTAGCAAAAATAGCCTTAATTGTAAAATCCTCCTGGGATATAGAATGTGTCAAGCAATTTCCACCTATGTTGGACTTAAGATTTTTTCACCGTAGATAAAATTGAGCTAAAGAGACTTTTCATTAGTCTTCAAGGCCTGTAGAAAGAAATAATCCAAGTGCTTAATAAGAAGATATACCTTATTGGCCCACAGAACTGCCCTTTCATATCCAGCTGAGATGCTATGCAGTAGTTAGTGAAGTGAGATTCTCACCCACTAATCCAATTTTTAATGGCTAATCACAGGACATTTTACCTTGAGAGATCCAACTTGCCTACTGATTCCAATACAACAGCAGTGAAGATTGACCAGGTATTATTATTATTTATTTTATGGTCGTAACTTACAGCCCCCATCATGGACCAAGACTTTGTAGCACTAGCTGCTATAAAAACACAGAACAAAAAGATCTTGAATCAGCCTGAGGATCAGTTAGGGTTCCATCACCCAGCAATGAGTACCATCACTTTAGCACTGAACAATCACTTAAGTCCATTTGAATGGAAATTTTGTTCACAACATACAGGACAATAAAAGCAACCTCTCCCAGACCCTCACCTAAAACTCAATTCAATAGTAAACACAGTCTATATCTGGGTAGATGCTTCATGTGAATGTTTGCACATGCTATGGAAGCAAACAGAGATTTGGGTCTTATAGGGGAGAAAATTCAGGGACTCCCCGATCTGTGCAGTATTAGCATATACTGTAAAGCAGATGGATATGATTTTTGTTCACTTGCAACGGACTGTCTTAAACCCTCATCAAGTCCTCACGTCTTGTGTTGAAAATCGTATCTACTGTGAATAGTTGTTACTTGAGACCTACCAAGAGTATTAGAGTCTGGGAAAAAAAAGTTCTTATAAGAATCTATGTAAATATGCCACTGATGCATGTGTCCACTGTTCCTATGTAGCTTATTCGCCCCATTAATGCAATGGATGAGCTGTGTAGACTGATGAAGTCCTTCATAAATACAAAACCCCCCCAGTCGGGATATTCTAGTAGTAATACATCAGGAGCTGGGCTGCTGCCTATATCTTCAGAGCTTTGTTACCGGCTCGGAGCCTGTCAGATTGCCATGTGTGGCACTGGGATGCAGAGGTAAGATTTAAGAAGCCCTCCAAGGTACTGTTGAGATATTAATTTTTCTTCTGTATAAGAATCTGATACCTGAGCCAGTTACATAAAGCTAGAGAGGGATGGATCTCTGACAAATTAAAAAGAAAAAAGCCCTTTGGTGGCAAGTTTTATTTTAGGGTGGACTATGACGACTGCGACTGCTGTGACATCAGGCACTGCTGGACAGTGGTTGAGACACAAAGTCCCAGTGCAATTACTGATAACCTATGCTGGAGGGGCAGGGGGCACAGAGCATATGTCTTTCAGACAACACGGTCTTTGATCACAAAGGTGACCTCTAATACATGTTTTTTAAATCTTTTGTGTAGGCTCTCATAAAACCATTTATTGAAATGGCCCACAATTTCAGTGTTAAAAAGAGTCATTTTTAGAAGAGTTTTAAATCATGGAAGACACATGAACTACATTAGAACTGCAGTGAGACACATGAAATCACAGCAGTATAGCTCACTTGCTGTAGGGGAGGTGTCAGTGAGCTTAACTGCATAACTGGTTATATATTTTTAAATGAGAAGCCAAAAAGTAAATCTAGAATGGTGCCGTGGCCAAGTTCATTTGTAGTTATTGGCTAAGTAGCTTTGTTAAAAGCCCTAACTCAAGACTTTATTAAAAGACACAAGTAATTTTAAAGAATGGTTTGTGAATGTATTATTCCCTTATGTACCCATGTCCAGAAGTACATTGAGTGTGTCTCTGGAACAAGCAGCCATCCTGGCTCGAAGTCATGGACTTTTACCCAAATGCATCATGCAAGCTACAGACATCATGAGAAAGCAAGTGAGTAGTTAGATCCTTTCTACTACTACTTCCTTCGTTGGATCCTTCCTTAGTATGCCACCATCTTAATCCCTGGGATCTCTTTATAGCAATTTCAGTTAATTTCTCTGTGGAATTATATGTTGTGTATAAACATACCTACCTCCACACACTGTTAAATTTGTACAACTGCATGTACACCTTGCAGGAGCAAATTCTGACCTGTGCACGTGGAGACATTAGGCTATTTAAACTGCATACCTGGGGCTACATTATTTAAAGTGCATGAACAGATATTTGAAAAATGTACAAAATGTGTAGGCTTATGCCTTTATACAAACGTATAAAAGAAAAAGAGTCTGGCCTTGGAAAATGTAGGTCACAGAGTATTCTCATACACGTCCTGTTTATTCTATAACATGTTCTCCTGCCTACAACATTATATAGTGGAAATCTCCTAGTGTTAGATACTATTGCTTCTAAAGTGCTTTGAGACTTCTGTCATTTTAAGTAAACACAGATGACTGATGTCCCCACCCAGTGGCTTTCAGTGCTACTAAAAGTAGTTAATGGATTATAAGATAGAAATCAGACTCCTGTTAGAGTATTTTCCCTTTAGGGTCAGATGTTTTATTGATATTATCAATGCCATAAATTCTGTGTTTCCATAGGGACCAAGGGTTGAAATCTCTGCTAAAAATCTTAAAGTGATGGATCAGATGCCGCAGTCTGCACCCCGGTAGGTCATTATGTACAGTACGTATTACCTGAATATTTGTGTTGCATCTTTGCACCCAGCTGTGACATTTCCTTCTCAAAATGGCATGCCCTTTAACACCAGTACACAAAACTATCCCAGCCATCACTATGCTAAACCAAGTGCACCAGTATTTAAAAAAGCTTTGTTCAAAATCCCCTGTCACTCACCATTAACTTACAGAACACCTGCGTTGTCTAAATAAAACATCACTGATTTTTTTTTTTTTTGGACAGTGGCAATATGTTTCTAAACCTCAGTGACTGTCAGCTATCTGTGGCATGCCGAGGAGCAGAAATTCTTAAATGCCAGATCTGACTGCAACTATGCAAAGATCATTCATGAGCTAATATTTTGGCCAGAGCCCGACCAAGTGTCTGGAATAGCCTGAGTGCCTCATAATTTACTGCAGAGTGGGTTTAAGAGCAAGCAGCTCAAATTAACTGAATTTATGGTGATGTACTTCCTAGAAGAATCAATTACCTGAAGTCATAGCCATTCTGTTGTTATCTGAGGCTCAAAGCCTGAGAGGTGCTATTCACCTGCAAATCCGGACACAATTTCAGGTGGTTGTTATTATCTATTTCCAAGAGAAGCTGTTTTCACCAATTTCCTCTCCCTCTGCCCTCCTTCCCCTCTCAGACAGACCAAAGAGAGTTCTTTATAGCTTCATTGAACATTCATAGAATGCTAGACTATGCCCATGGAAGTCAGGGCACATCTACACTTGCCCCCATCTCGAGATAGGGATGCAAATGTAGTGTACCGAAATTGCTAATGAAGTGCGGGATTTAAATATCCTGTGCTTAATTAGCATAAACGCATGCAGGCACCATTTTGAAATCACGTTATTACGAAATAAAACGCCTCATGTAGTAGCGTTATTTCGAGAGAAGACCCTTCTCTTGAAATAACTGTTACTTATAAAGTTAAACTCCTAATTTTATGAGGCGTAACAGTTATTTCGAGAGAAGGGTTTTCTCTCAAAATAACGTTGCTACATGGGGCGTTTTATTTCGCAATAATACGATTTCAAAATGACGCCCGGACACGATTATGCTAATTAAGCGTGGGATATTTAAATCCCGCGCTTCATTAGCAATTTCGGTACATTACATTTGCATCCCTATCTCAAGATAGGGGGCAAGTGTAGATGTACCCTCAGTGAGCCTGCGTCTACTCCTATGGAAGTTAATGGGATTCATTTGAGTAAGGCTAATCAGCACTGGCCCTTGAAATGAGAAGCGGAAAAAAACATTTAGGTATACAACATCTTTCCTGGATAGAGCAGGTTTATTCTATTATAGGGTGTGTTTACACAACAAAGTTATTTTGGAATAACGGCCATTATTCTGAAATAACTATGAGAGCATCTACACAGCAATTCTGTTATTTTGAAATTATTTCGAAATAACGGACGGCTTATTCTGACTTCTGTAAACCTTACTCTATGAAGAATAATGCCTATTCCAAAATAGCTCCACTTCTGGGCTACGTCTACATTGGCCCCTTTTCCGGAAGGGGCATGGTAATTTTTGAAATCGCAATAGGGAAATGCGCGGGGGATTTAAATATCCCCCGCGGCATTTAAATAAAAATGTCCGCCGCTTTTTTCCGGCTTTTAGAAAAGCCGGAAAAGAGCGTCTACACTGGCCCCGATCCGGCCCGATCCTCCGGAAAAAAGCCTGGCCCCGATCCTCCGGAAAAAGCTCCCTTTTCCGGAGGATCTTATTCCTACTTTGAAACCCTATTGCGATTTCAAAAATTACCATGCCCCTTCCGGAAAAGGGGCCAATGTAGACGTAGCCCTGCTGTTTCGAAATACAATAGCCCTCGTGAGAGAGTAAGTTATTCCTCCTGGGGCTCTAAATCGAGATAGCACGTCTACACTAGGGAAGCCTGCCTTGGACTAATTTTTAGGCTTCCCTACAGTGTAGACGTGTTACTTCAAAATAAGCTATTTTGGAATAACTATTCTGGAATAGCCTATTCCAAAATAACTATGCAATGTAGACGTAGCCATCGGCTTTTGCGCAAAAACTTGCTGCCTGTCTACACTGGCCACGAGTTCTTATGCAAGAACACTGACGTTCTAATATATGAAATCGGTGCTTCTTGCGCAAGAACTCTGATACTCCTGCTAAGGAATAAGCCCTCTTGTGCAAGTGTTCTTGCGCAAGAGGCCAGCGTAGAGTGGCAACATGAATTTCTTGCTCAAGAAAACCCTATAGTTAAAATGGCCATTAGAGCTTTCTTGCACAAGAGAGCGTCTACACTGGCATGGATGCTCTTGCACAAAAGCACATGCCAGTGTAGACACTCTCTTCTGGAAGAGTTTTTGCGCAAGATCATGCCGGTGTAGACGTAGCCATCATGTTTTACCTGGTTCACTTTTGTAAGCCGTGTGAGAGGAGGGTTAGACCACTGTACATTTCAGTGTCAATTTTTCCTTGTCATCCTGTTTCTCTTAACTATATCCCATTGGGCCACCCTAAGTAATTGTTCGTTTGCAGAAAGTTATTTCACGCTTGTGGCATGAAAACAGTAGTTGGTGGTTGAGGTGAAGTTGCCTGTGACACAATTTGGCCTGGTTTTGCTTTCTCAGAGACCTTTCACAGGGAACAAGATTTTGGTTCTCATACATTGGCCTTCTTTTGGATTCCAAGAGCCTGCTCAGTAAGGGATGAACATACACTGTCTACACGTGACTCTGTGCCACATCCCAAATGTCAAGCATCACACTTCCATAGCAGTGACATTTTCCCCTTTTAATGAATATTCATTACTGAAGAGCTGTTTTTATGATCCTAAAGCTATAATGTGTTTGACGTAATTCAGGATAAATAACACTGGAGCTCGAGCTGTGATTTACAAAGTGGAGTGAAGGAGAGAAAAGCCTCATATTTGATTTTAGGGTTTTAAAGAACCTTCATTTTGGAAAGCTTATTTTTGAAAAAACACAGGTTCCTATTTGCTTTCATTGGTGTGAGGTGCATTAAGACTAAATGGAACATAACGGAGCAAAGGTAAATTCATTTCAGGTAAACTGAATTTGGGCTAAGTATCAGGAAACATTTTCTAACAGTGAGGCCTGTTAGACTGTGGAATAATCTTGGAAAGGAAGTTACAGAAGCCCCATCATTTGAGTTCTTTACTTAAACTTGGACAAAGCTGGAGAAAATGCTACAGGGAACCATCATGTACTGGGGAGATGGAAAAATCCCCATTTTCAGCACCTTGTCTAGCTCTAATTTCTGTGATTTTTTTTAAATGTCTCTGTAAACAAGATTAAATCACAGTGGAATGAGACTTGTCTCAGATACAAATATCCAGGAAAATAATAATAAAATTAATAATTTATGGATTGCCAAGAACTAAGGACCAAAATATGACTTGGGTTGCACAGCGGTGGAGTAAGGTCTCAAAAATAAAAGTCAATTTTATGATAACAGCTCTAAGTGTTTTAATTAGCAATTCTCTAATGACACATTTAGTTTGCGAAAGGATTAATAATTGCAACTAGCTGAATCTTTCCTGTCAGAATATCAGTGACTGCTTCTTAGAGCAATAAAGAAGCTGAAAGTCATATGCTAATTGTAGTAACTTATCATTATATAATGAAACATCCATTTTTAATCCTCCCTTATAGACTCTACAGGCTATGTCAGCCACCTTTAGATGGGGACTTATAAAAATGAAAGCAACACCCATGTTATGGAGTCATTAAAGTATTCAGCTGAAATCAACCCTGACCAAGGACCCATGACAACTGACACTGGTGGTGTTAAATGGAGACGGGAGGAGATGGTGCTGGGTGTCCTGTGTTCGGAAAGAGAGATGAATCTGCGAGGCCCGCCTGCTGAGAACTCCTACAGTATATGGGCAAAGATTCTTATTGGTTCCTTGGCTTATTGGAGAAGTTCTCTTACCATAAACACTGTAGAGCTGAGACAAAAGACGTGCCCCCTGCCCGAATGGCCAGAAGGAATGGCAATTCCATGTCAAGAAACTGCAACTTTACTAAGAATTCAGCTATGCTGCTGGCTGAAGTTGTGGCCTTCGAGTTATGGATCCATAAAGCAAAAGCAAGATGAAGCACATCTACTCTCCCAGTAGTGTATCTGGCATCCATTTAATTGCCAGCAGAATTTTGGTCAGTGGTCTCTTCTGTAAAAGCATGAGGAATACCACTGAGTTAACACACTGACCTGCACTTTTGAACCAGGAATAACTCAAGTTTCTGGTTTATTCACATATGAATATAAAGTTTCTCTTCTAGAGTCGTTTTCCTCCTCAGCCCAGTGAGAACCAATCTCTGTATGCTGCAGAGTACACATTCCATAATACTTCTTACCATTACTTCCTCTGACTTACAATAGAGGTCAGGTTTGGGATTAACATTTTTTTACTAATGGTCTATTATGTATTCTGGAAATACAATAATATTTTACCAGAGAGTTTGGCAATGAAGGATTTTTTAGGAGAAATTACAAAGAAAATAATTGCGGTCTTATAGTCTGATTATTTGAGCAGATGTAGTTTTTAAAAGAAGGTCAGAAGAACTATAGTTATTTATGTGGAGTGGAGTATTTGTTTTGGATCATGTTATTATATATACAAAATTTAAATAAAAATTATATTGTTTAAAATGGGACCAATATGCTGGCAATTACACAGCTAATCCCAGTTTACTGGAAACAATTCTACATTATTTAAAATCTTTCAGTATTTAAGTAGTCGTTAATACAGTTATTAAAATGTATTAGAAAGGTTTTTAAGTTAAAAGAAAAAGGAATCATGTATATAATGTACTTTATTTTTTCCTGTTTCAAAATTGTTCTCCATTCTGTCAGTATTAGCATTTGTGCAGTAATTTTCTCCAAATTACTGATACTCATTGAGAATGTCAGCAGTCTCAGGCCAGAAATAATGTTCTTTTGGAGTGAGTGCCTTAATAATGATTCACCCATATCTAATAAAATTCAGCAGCACTGGAGGAACCTAACGTTATTCTCTCTCACTGTAGAAAAGCCATAGTATCTTTTAAAACAATTCATTGTTAGGAGACTCCAGGAACTGTTTGGAGTGATGTACATTCTAGAGAATGAAGGGTTGCTTTTGTTTGTTTGTTTTGGGTAGGGGGTTGGGGGAGGGAAGGATTGTGTTAGTTTGTTTTTGTTCTGAACAGGGCATTAATGAACTCCAGTTTTATTTAGTTAACAAGCCAACCATCTCAAATATTATGTTAAAAATCATCTCTTCTCACGTGGCTGTGAAGGTTTTCTTAATTCGATTTCTTCAGCTGGCACAAAATTACTTACCACCAACTTTGAGGGGGTTGTATAGGCTTCCTCAATTATTAAATGTTTGAAATATTTTTGGTTTCCTTCATTGTCAGACTGAGTGTTTTTGGGAGAGGGGACACACGCTTGCTTGTTTTATTTCTTTTTAAGTATTTCTTCTGACCCACCTCAGTCCACAGCAGAGGGCTCCTGTTACATCCAAGACACAGGGGACAGTTACTGCAGTCAGATGAGCAGAACACATTGTTTCTAAGCAGTTGTGCTTCTTCATAACCTTGGAAGATCTAATCTTGCCGTTTGCTGTTGAGAAGAATCATTTCTTGACAAATGTCCCAACTTAAAATTAACTATAATGATATCTAAAAAAAACCCTATTGAAACACCCAAGAAATAAAAACGTAGGGGCCAGTATCCTCTTCTGGGGTAAATCAGCACAGTTTTGTTGAATTCAGTAGATCTGATTTATACTGCCAGTTGAGAACCCTGTCCTACATTTATGCAGTTCATACAGACCTTAAAGGCGCATAGAAGATGATCTAAGGGCATTTACACTGTGCACTGGTTTACATTAAAATGTATGTGTTTTTCTCATTAAATACATGCTAGAACATTTTATTATTAAAAGTTGGTTTCTATTACAATGAAAGAGGAGATGATTTTATTTATGTAAGTTACACCCTTTTGTGCTTTGTTGTTAAAGAGAGTTTAGGACTTTGCAGAGCCATGAAAAGTCAAAAGTTGAAGAGGTTTGGAAAAGTTGTTTTTGATATCTGATCAAACTGCCTCCGCAGTGCTACTCTCTTCCTGTTTGTGCAGTACCACCTACAAATGTAGTTTCACTTCAGAATTCTTACTAAAAATAGGACAGAGCATTTCTAAGGCTACATAATTATAAAGTTTGAGGCTAGGCCTGAAAAAGTGAGCACAGTTGGAGTTAGAAGGCTTATGCCAAACGACAAGTGAAATCAGTAGAGCAGGCTCAGGATATGGACTTTTCAGGACTACAACCAAAGTCAGAGTCAGATCCCAGGTGAGGGTGCCAATTTTCTAATCACATGAACCCAAACACCTTTTCCTTGCTCTGCCTCCTACCAGTGGCCCAGGGCCCCACCACTGTCCTGCCCCTTCTCTGAGGCCCCACCCCTCGCTCAATCCATTCCTCCTCCCTCCATCATTTGCTCTCCCCCACCATCACTCATTCATTCAGCTAGGGTTGGGAGTGAGGGTTCTGAGGGGGAGTTTGGGTGTGGGAGGGGGTTCTAACCTGGAGCTGGAGGTTCCTCTTTCCCCTTTCTCAAATTAAAAAGTTGTTCCCTCAGCAAAAGTGTATTTTGGCTGTAAAATATCTTTTAAAAAATATGAACAAGAAAAACAGGGTTTTTTTTCTCCTGTATCTACCTGAAAAAAAGCATTACCACAACAGGACATTGAACTATCATGCCCTTGCGCCTCCAGAAATGCAAAAAGTCCCCAAGGAGAAGAGGAAAAAATCCCAGTGGGGCAGACTGTTTGAAAAATGGTCAATAAAATTATGAGTCTGGTTAACAGAAAATATTCCTCTCATGTCAAATTCTTTAGCCCATCATGATCGAATGGCCTGATCTTAGCATGGGGAGGTTCAAAGTCCCAAATTCATAAAATCATAGGGTTGGAAGAGACCTCAGGAGGTCATCGAGCCCAACCCTCTGCCCAAAGCAGGACCAACCCCAACTAAATCCCTCTTCCCCATTCACACACTCGCCTTTTCCTGACAGCTCTTTTGAACCTCCTTTCAGATAGTTGAAGGCTGCTATCAAATCCCCCCTCACTCTTCTGTAGACTAAATAAGCCCAAATCCCTCAGCCTCTCCTTGTAAGTCATGTGCTCCAGCCCCCTAATCATTTTTGTTGCCCTCCACTGGACTTTCTCCAATGCATTCACATCCTTTCTGGGGCCCAGAACTGGACACAATACTCCAGAGGTGGCCTCACTAGTGCTGCAAAAAGGGGAACAATCACTTCTCTAGATCTGATAGCAATGCTCCTCCGAATGCTCCCCAATATGCCATTAGCCTTCTTGGCTACAAAGGTACACTGTTGACTCATGTGCAACTTTTCATCTACTGTCATCCCCTGGTCTTTGTCTGCCAAACTGCTGCTTAGCCAGTCGGTCTCCAGCCTGTATAAGTGTTTGGGATTTTTCCGTCCTAAGTGCAGGATTCTGCACTTATCCTTGTTGAACCGCATAAGATTTCTTTCGGCCCAATCCCCCAATTTGTCTAGGTCACTCTGAACTCTATTCCTACCCCCCAACATAGCTATCTCTCCATGTAGCTCAGTGTCATCTGCAAACTTGCTAAGGGTGCAATCCATCCCCTTAACGAGGTCACTAATAAAGATTTTGAATAAACCTCCAGTCTTGCTATGACACTAGCACCTTTTCTGGACTTTGGGAAGTCCCAGAACCAATTTGCCACAGGTCCCCATCAGTAAGAAGGGATAGTTATAATAATGCTCACTTGTCTACCTCTCTGAGGATTGTGATGATTTACCAGGTCATGCTGGTAAAGAGATTTGAAAATATAAAACACTAGCTGCTAACTATCACAGTTTCACTGCTTCCACGATGACTAGGGTAAACACATAGGCAATGTCTGGCACAGCAAATCATACTAAATGGTATCTGAGGCAATCAATGGGCTTCTCGGACACCTGGGCATTATTCACTGATCAAAGACACTATCAGCCCATCCAACCCAGCTTACTCACAAAAGCAGATGTAGTTCTGTGAATAAGGTGACCATTGATTCACCCAGTCACCCTAATACAGCTCTTCACTACACTAACAGTGGTGTCACACCAAAATGTGCAAGTGAGACTGTCATTCTGTCACACATGGATGCATCAGTGAGATCTACAGCAGTACTACAGCCAAGAGTCTTTGTAGTAGAGCAAGGTCACAGAAGCAGCGGTTCCTGTTTTGGATAAAATTGTTTTGAATTTACCCAGCATCGGGGGCCATTATCCAGGATCAGATTCTGTCCTATTAAAACCAAAAACTGTTCATTGCTTAATTAGGGTTGTCCTAAAAATGTTTAACCCCCAACCCAGCCCTAAAAGCTAGTCATTCTGTGATTGCACATAAATTAGTTTGTGAGCCATGAATTCTTGAATTTTAAATCAAGCTCCGACACTGTTTAACCCTCTCTATTGCTCTTCCCCACCTGTAAAATGGGAATAATAGGACTACCTACCTCCCGGGGCATTGTGAAGCTTTGTTAGCTACTGTTTGTGAACTGCTTTGAAGTCTGAAAATGCTAAAGGAAGCATTTTTATTTTTCCTCACTCAGCTGAGAGTTAGCAAGGGAGACTAAGGGGTACAAGGGAGACAAAGAAGAAACAATTACAAAAGAACAACATATATTTCCCATAATTAGATAGTTGGTAACAGCAGGCTTAAGGAAAATCAACCCAAAATACTTTTTACACATAAGCATATCTGATTTATTGTGTCACTCCTCATTGCTGGAATTGCAGTTATTGGATATTTCAGTGCCTCCCCTAATCTGGGAAACCAGTTTGTTTACTACATTTCTTGTCACTAGGGGAAAAAACCTCTGTTGTATAAGGCCAGATTCATCAGTCTTACTCATCTTGATTTACACTGTCATTTCAAGAGACTCAGAATCCAGCCTACAGTAATAGAAAGTTAATTGAATAATCACTTTAAAACATTGTCTTGGAGAGAGGGCACTTATTTTAGATTCAGGGTGCCCATTCTGAGGCTGAGTCACCCTTCAGCCACATTTGAGACCAATGTAAATCTACTTATTTATGATCCTGAGTCACACTAGTGTAAGTGAATAGAACCTGTGTCAGAAGAACCTGTCAACAGAACCTGTCCATTTGCTAGCCGGATGCAATGCAAGGCATCCCAATATAACATTCGAAAATCTACCATTGGTCACTTGTAGGGGTACTGGAACTTGTAATACTTAAGGGCTGTGTCTACATTGGTGTGATCTTGCGCCAAAGTGGCCGCTTTTGTGCAAAAACATCCTGCCTGTCTACACTGGCGGGGAGTTCTTGCGCAAGAACGATGATGCTCCCATTCAGGAATAAGCCCTCTTGCGCAACTGTTCTTGCGCCAGTGTAGACAGGCAACATGAATTTCTTGCGCAAGAAAGCCTTGTGGTTAAAATGGCCATTAGAGCTTTCTTGCACAAGAGAGCTTCTACACGGGCATGTGCCTTTGTGCAAGAGCATCCGTGCCAGTGTAGAAGCTCTCTTCTGGAAGAGTTTTTGCACAAGAACTCTTCTGCAAAAGAGTTCTTGCGCAAAATCATGCCAATGTAGACGTAGCCATAATGTCAAGAAGCTGCATCTCTGAGCAGAAGTAGAAGGACCTGATTCTTCATTGTACCACAGCAACTTCATGCTAGTGTAACTCCACTGCTAGTTTAAGAAGATGTGTCCAGAATAGGTGTGGCCTTTTGGTGCTGACAAATTAACATGTGGCCCCTGATGTGGCAGTGAAGACCCATCTGTTGAGACTTCAAATACCACTGCTGTGCTACTGCTGCATTTGAAGATCATTTTGTGCCCAAGACCTTTCGCAGGGGCAAGGCTGAATGATACACAATGTATAATGTGTTTTTGCATGCAGCAGAACTTCTCATGTTATAGGAAGATGTTCCAGAAATGATAATTTGAGAGAGTTGTAGGGAATTCACATTTTCAAATGTTTTGTAAAAAAATACACACAAGAGTTTTTCCAGTGAAGTGTTGTTGTTTTTTTGCAGGGGAGGAAAGGTTAAGTTGTACCAGCCATGGTATATTTTCCTTAATGTTCTGTATTTTCAATTGAGCATGTGTCTCCTGCATTAGGATAAAAGCTGTAATATACTTCACAGATGTTCAGCTGAATGCATTGCTGTGATATCTGATGGCATCATTTGGGGATTAACACTGTGGCCAGTAAACTATATTTAAACTCATCAGAATCATTATCAGGACATCCACATGATGGATCCTGTAATATTCAATGGGATTCACATTATTCCTCCAAGGTTTAAGGGGACAGGGAAAAGGGATGGGCACACTCATACAAGGTTAATAAAACCACTAGGGCCAGTCCCTGGTGTCCTTGTTCAAGCAGAACTCTCTTAACTTGCAGGGGAGTTTTCCTGCAGGAGGACTAAGGAAATACTTCTCATTTGGTGCTCATGGCTCTTTTGGTTTATGGGGAAGAGAAGCAGAGAATCTTTTTTCCCTCAACTCCACTCAGCCCATTAGACACTCTTACAACAACAACAAAATATTGTGGAGATGGAAAATCCCAGGAAACCTGTACATGGCCTCCATACACAAGAACTTAGAAATATGCCTAGACTATAGAAATATGAACAGACATTAAATTAAGAGAGGCTGATGAAGATAACACACTCCTCTGTTCCCCTGCCAACATCCCAGATGGAGATAAACAATTGTTTCTTCCTAAATTACAAACTACACTACTATAAAAAGAAGCCTCAAACAAAAACAGGACAAGTCTCTGTAGAAAGAAAAGAAAAGATGAGGAATAACAGGAGCTAGCCATCTGGGTTAAGCAACAGAAAATCTAGCCAGCAGCTTTTCCTTCTCAATGCTTTGTTCTCAAGGATTTATA